AGGTGGGAGACAGGAGGGAACATAGGAAGCCTCCCCCTCCCTCTCTCAATGTGTTTTATCCATGTGCGCTCTTCCTAGGTAGCAGGATCTCCCCAGGCGCTGGGTGAGAGGCAGGACAAGCGGGAAGAGTTCTGTGCATGTTCACTCACCCTCTGGCCTCTGGAGGTGCCTGGAGAGTTTAGCCAACACTCCTGTCACTTCCCTGTGGCAGACACTGGGGAACGAAGGGCTAGAATGATTTACTTCATACTGCGTTTTAGCAGAGGGCATATGATATCTGGTTTTTCCCTGAGTAATAGCCAGCACCGGGTTAACGTAACTTTTCCATTGTAAAGATAATTTGTGCTTAACTGGTAAACTGTGAGCTGATAGTGTATGAATACCTATTTTACTGTCAACTTTTTTTACCTGATGGTTTTAGCATCCATTGATAATCCTTCCCTGAATCACTTACATTATTAGGGATTTCAGAATGGGGATTTCACTTGAATGTTCCTCCTTTATTTATAAGTTAGCATTCCTCTGTAAAGAAGAGCTGTCCTTCATCGTTTGCTGCTGTCTGCTTATCCCAAAGTAGCGTAATTGTTGAAAGGTAGGACAAGATGCTTAGTTCTTCCTCTTTATTAATGTCAGTAAGCTGTTATGCCAACAGATGAGACATGTAAAAAATTCCTTTTTTCCCCTCTCTCTAGCAATCATGGTGGCCTTAAGAATTTGTCAGTGTGTTTCAATCAATTATACTCTTGTTCTCTTTGATCCCCAAATTGTTCTAAATTTGGTCTGTGGAAGCTCTCTCTAATAGGAATTGAGAGCTGGAAGGAATCTTAGAAATCAGCTAATCCAAATTTCTCAGTTCTATAGGTGAGGAAACTGAAGCTCACAAGTTTGTGACATCCTAATGTGTCACAGATAATTAGTGGCAGAGCAAGGATTAGGATCCAGATCCCTGGAGTGCTCAGGTAGTGCTTTTCCCATTGCTCTAAGAGAGAGATCTGCAGTAACTCTTGGTTTCAAATTCCTGCTAATAATATTAATCAAAATGAGAGAAAATGGCCCACATGTTTGCAATCGTACATTTTTTATTAAAAGTTATTGTCTAGTCCAGTGGGTCCCAAATTGAATGGATATTTATCTGCACTTTTTAGAAACAACAAAGAAGCACCACGGTAGGCTCAGCATCGGGCCAGTCTGAGAAGTGAGTTTGACTTGGACATTTGGTATCTACAGGTTGAATTTATCTTACAATCACATTTTGTTGGATCTGCGCAGAATTTTGAAAACTTGAAATCCATTGCCAATGTAGAATAGTAGTGATTTCACAAACAAATTTGAGTTGTCAGCCTCACTAAAATATTTGCAGATATCTGGCAACATTGGGCTCCCCCTGTGATACAGCAACAGCCAGTTGGAGTTAAAAAACTTTTTAAAAGGGCATATGCCCCTCCAGCTCACCTCCTGGCCACTCCCTAATGCGTCCTTCACATGTTTGTTGTCTAATGTTGTGCTGCTGTCCTGCCTCACCTTGTAAGCATTTGAGATAGTGGCTCTTCAGATTGTTAGAAGTGAAGAATTCTTGGAAGGATTTTTGTAATGTAGTCACAGGTTGAAGGTAATAATAATGATGCTGGCGCACATTAACGGCAAGAAAATGGTAGAGCTGATAGTTTTTCTGCTGCTAGTTTGAGATCTTCAGCAGCTAAATCACAAAAAATAAAACCAATGATGATAGGAAGTCAACTAGAAATTTTTGAAATTTTCAAGAAGATAGTTTGAAACGTTAGTTTCCTTCCTACCATTAATTATGAACCTCACTTTAGGTGTTTAATATGCACATGTATATGTAATTTATATTGTAGTGAATCCTATGAAAAATTTTAATTTTTATAGCTCAAAAATGGTCAGATACTGGCAATATCATATGGTTCATCTAAAAGAAAAAAATTACCCATGGGTGAGTGCCCTAAATCTTCCTTTCATGGGTATGTTACTTGAGCAGGTTTGAAGCCTACTGAGGCAGGAGAGGCTTACTCTTAGGCTAGAAATATCATAGGAAATGATTAGTGAACAAAGCAGTGTATACATTAAAACTGTGATGATAAGAAAGTGCTGTTTGTATAGTAGAAATGACAGTGAACAAAGAGAGCAGGGGGTGGGTAGTAGGTGCTGGGATCTTTAGGGGAAGGCCTGGAGTGGGTCAAGTAATTATAAAATCCTCATCAAAAACCAAATATAAATTGTTTTAATTATCTGCAGTGTTTCTTACCACAAGTGTATGGATAACTAAGAGCTGACTGTGTATTTTGTTGTAATCTTGCAGCCACAGAAACTCAAGTTGATTTGACCACATCATCCCGGTATACTCACTAGTTGTACTTTGAAGGCAATTTTACCAAATCGAGAAAGCCAAATATACTTAGAAATTTATCTCCTCCATCTGTGTTTTTATGTCAGTGTTTTTCAAATTGGATTGCAACCCATTGGTGAGTTGTGAAATTAACTTCATTGGGTCAAAACTAGTATTTTTTCAAAAGTGAAGTAAAATAGAGTAGACAGTATGGAATACATTGTACAGAGGAAGGGTAGTATTATTTTAAAAAATTTACATGTTAGCTTTATGTGTGTTTCTGTGTACACTTGACCTTTGAACAACATGGGGGTAAATGCACACAGAATTTATAGTTGGCGCTCCACATCTGTGGTTCTTCCACACTGGTGCATTCAACCGACCAGGATGGTGTAATTAAGATACCTGCATTTAAGTGGACCCACACAGTTCAAACCGTGTTGTCAGCTGTATAGATGTGAAGATGCTAGGCTGAGATGCAAAATGTATTTCTTGGCTGAGGAAAAAAAAATTGAAAGCCGTATTTATTATAGTTAGAATTTATGATAGAGTGATTGCTCGCCATTAATAGCAAGGCTTTAAACTCACAGTCCTGATTCTTGTTTTGAATTTTCAAAGCTGTAAGTCCTTTAATAATCTTCCTAGGCCTGCATACAAGCAGGCTTTTTTCCCCAAGCCCAGTGCATTTACTTGGGTTTCCATCCCTTTCTTTTCAGTCCTTTGAATGCTGCTGAATTGATTGATACAATTTTATATTTCCTCCAAATTTGTACTGCAAAGAGGAACTGACTGGCATGGGTAGATCTCTTGCATTGGAAAGCATGTACTCAGATGATTTCCTTCTGCAATAGTTGGTAAAGGCTAAATACATGACAAAGTGGAGTGAAAGTTGGACTATATATGCATTAATACCAAATCCTCAAATTTATTACCAAAAACACACCTTAATATTTGGTCTGTCTTCCAGGTTGCCTGAAATAGCCAAATAGCAGTCTCCCTGTGTCTTTGGTGTACTTGTTTTTGGTTTATTTAGGATTATCGTCTTGATTTCAGGGATCTCTGTAGCATTTTCTAACTCCAAGTTAACATTAAACAATAGGTCTTCAAAGCTTTGCCATTACTTGTGACTTTTCAGAACCTCTTTTCTTTGTCTGTAACATGAGGGGCTAGTTGTAATTCCTGTAAGTTTTAACATTTGACTGTTGCCTGGAGTTGGGTTTTCTGTTGTTCATTAAGTCATTTATATGCCTTGAAACATTGTTTTGGTGGTTATTTTTCCCCCTAACAATGTTCATCAAAATACTGTATGCTAACACATATATATGGAATCTAAGAAAAAAAAGGTCATGAAGAACCTAGGGGTAAGACGGGAATAAAGACACAGACCTACTAGAGAATGGACTTGAGGATATGGGGAGGGGGAAGGGTAAGCTGGGACAAAGTGAGAGAGTGGCATGGACATATATACACTACCAAACGTAAAATAGATAGCTAGTGGGAAGCAGCCGCATAGCACAGGGAGATCAGCTCGGTGCTTTGTGACCACGTAGAGGGGTGGGATAGGGAGGGTGGGAGGGAGGGAGATGCAAGAGGGAGGAGATATGGGGACATATGTATATGTATAACTGATTCACTTTGTTATAAAGCAGAAACTAACACACCATTGTAAAGCAATTATACTCTAATAAAGATGTAAAAAAAAAAATTAAAAAAAAAAAAAAGTTCGTCCACCTCCCAACGAAGAGAAGGGTTCTTCTGTAGAATAGTCAGAGGCAGGTTTGGAGGAGGCTCACGAGGGCATGCGTGACCCCGTACCCTCTCTGCACACACATCTGTGGATCGTCTGGCTGGACTAGCGTGATCCCACCCTCTCTGTCTCTCCAGTCCTGCTTTGGTTACCTTAGTTGTGAGAACAGTTTTGCTTACCCTTTCACCCTGCCTCACGGGTCCCTCCCTGCCGGGGCCACTCCTGGTGTCTGCCAGCAGCTCTCACCTGGGAACGTGTCCAAATGCAGCTCCACACATCCCACTCCCAGAGATTCTGATTTTAATAAGCACAGGATTCTGAATTTGTAATAAGCGACGCTGGTGACTCTCATGCTGGTGATTCAAGTACACACTTTGAGAAGCCCTGGTGTATAGAGTGCCCCCTTGGTTGTTTGAAAGATTGGCAGGAGAATTTAAACTTTGTTTATGAACAGTCTTCCTCTGAGGATGGCAAGTCTACTTCTTTCTTGTTCATGATTGGGACGAATTTATGATTTTTATGGAAACCAGGTGGTTTTCCGCCTGGTGGGCTTGTCTCAAGTCAGGCAAGACTCAGTGCTTCTCATTTTAAGACCACTTGCCAGTGGCTGCAGAGGTTTGAAATGTGTAAGTATAGTGTTCAAGCCTTGTCCGAATTTAAATGTTGAGTGAGTTAACCCTTTCTTATTGGCTCCTGTGTTGTGGATTTCGGCTCTTCGGCTAAAATAGATTTAAGTTAGATTTTAAATATGTAAATATCTTGTGTTGGGTAAATTAATATTTTAAATGCGTCTCAATCATTGGGCATAAGGCTTTGGAGAAAAGAATTTTTCCAGAAGGGAAATAATAGTTTATTTTAGTAACTTGATTATTGTACTAATCCTTTTTCAATGTAATCGTTACTACTCAGGGTGAAAAGTTTGGACCGTTTGCTGGAGAGAAGAGAATGCCCGAAGACTTGGATGAAAATATGGATTACAGGTTGATGTGGGAGGTGAGCATGTGGTTGTTGTTTTAAATATTTAAAATGTTTTTCTTTGTACTATTTAAGGCATGTATAAAGCTAAGTTAATAGATATTGATTCCAGTTGACAAAGCATTGAAATGTTTGAATTTTAAGGAACCTGAATACCTTGAAAGTTTAGCATTAAAATACTGTTGAAATATCTAACTAGACAATTCTTCCATAACTCTGAAGTTTATATACTTCATCATTAAAAAAGAAGTTATCCATGAACAAGGATGTTTGGATTTCAAAATAAGCACATTCTTTTTATGGATTTAGAATTTGATTTCTGTAAATGAAATTATACTTTAACTTTTATTTCCCAATTGCAGTGCTAATTGCCCAGAAACATTTCTTTCTTTTTTTTTTTTTAACACCTTTATTGGAGTATAATTGCTTTACAATGGTGTGTTAGTTGCTGCTGTACAACGTGAGTCAGCTGTATGTATACATATATCCCCATATCCCCTCCCTCTTGCATCTCCGTCCCACCCTCCCTCTCCCACCCCTCTAGGTGGTCACAAAGCACTGAGCTGATCTCCCGCACAGAAACATTTCTGAGCTCTGTGTTGGAATGAAAATCCCAGCTTAAAATGTACCTTACCTTTAAAAACATATAGTTAAGGAGCTATGACACTGTAGATAGTCTTTTGCAATCTGAAGTCTCTCTGCTGCAGGAATTTGTATATACAAATGTATATCTATATATTATGAGAATTTTCATCCTAGTTTATGCCAGTTGTTTTCATTACTGTTCTTTCATAATCTTTAGAAAAAGAAGGGTCCGAGGGATGGAAATAGAAAAGCAGAGGTGTAGATATTGTTAAACAAAAACTTGGAAAAGGAAACTCAGTCCCAGGAATTTTGTTTGGTGGGTTCCATGAGGAGGGTGGGAGCTGAGATGGTATAGGTGGGCCTAAGGGAAGTGGGATCATAAAATCAGGAAGATAAAGAATACTGAAACAGAGAACTACACGTAAAATGTCTCTCTGAATGTGCATTTATCGGTTAGGATCACCAGAGAAACAGAACCAGTGGATGGGTGTGTGTGTGTGTGTGTGTGTGTGTGTGTGTGTGTGTGTGTGTGTGTGTGTGTGTGTGTGTGTTCAAGGAATTGGCTCACAGGATTGTGTGGGTGGCGGGTTGAAAGCTGTAGGCTGGAAACTCAGACAGGAGTTGATGATGCTTCAGTCTTGAGGCAGAACTGCTCCGGTGAACGTCAGTTTTTGCAGTTAAGGCCTTTGTTCGGATGAAGGCCACACAGCTTTGACAGTAATCTCCTTTATTTAAAGTCAACTGATTGTAGATGTTACCCACGTCTATAAAACATCTTCACAGCAACACCTAGATTACTATTTGATTAAATAGCTTGGTACTACCATCGAGCCAAATTGACACGTGAAACATATCATAATGTATTATCTGCAAGCAAAATACATTTTTAAGCATCACCATATTGCTGAAACTTCTTGATATAGGGAGTGGGGTTGCTTGAGGTTCTTGAAAGATTTCTGAAGTGCAGGTGATGGAAAATGGAAATTCATAATATAGTCTTCACTACAGTTTAAGTGGAAAATGTTATTGATTTGCCTTATTTTAATTGTTTTAATTATTTTTATAAACCTGAAAATATTTTTAATGGCTTTTACTATTTTTCTGTAAGATCTTAATTTTCTCAGCAGTTAATTTTTTTTTTTTACCGTGAAGGTTTTCAAAAGCCAAACCTTTATGTGACAAAAAAGATAACCTAAATAAGTTGAAAATGATAAAAATAACAATTTTTAAGGGGTTGTTAATGACTTTTGATATTTGTTTTGTTATCTCTGAAAATTTTAGTGTAGTGGTCAGTTTAATGTATTACACAGCTGCTTATGATGCATTGCTAAGCAGATGATGATTAGAATTTTTATTTTGAAAAAAAGACTTGCATATAGGAAAACTTAAAGAGGCTTACAGTGCTACCATAGCTCATCTAGTTTTGCATTATGTATTCCTCTGGTTCTTTGATGTCTTTACATTATTATTTGTTTTTACATACCAGTATACCTAGTCCTCTCACTTTACCACCCAAAGAGCTATTGATTTTATACATTTTATGTCAGGTAATGTTACATTCACATAATGATTGCCATTCTTTATTTTCTTTTACTTCTTAATGTTATGCTTGTGTTTTGAATAAGTAATATTTGTACTTTTGACACAATTCAGAAGGGTATTGATGAAGAGTCTCCTTGTCCCCTATAAGCCTGCTCTTTTCACCTAAGACCTTTGATCCCTTTAACCCCTTAGTTCATGCACCTTTTCCCTCCCTCCTGTAGTTCTTCCTTCTCTGAGTCTGGTCTTCAGGGTGGATTGTCGGCCGGTCTCTGCTCTGTCCAGTTGTGCTGCCAGGCAGGGCAGGGGAAGACACTCTCAGTGGTATATCTTCCTGGGGGAACACTTGAAAAACAGTCAGTACCTTTGGAACGGCAAAGATTTACCGCTTGCTGGCTTTAGTCCTGTTCCTTATTATGTTGAACTGGGAGAGCTGCTTCCCAGCCTTGAATTATATTCTTAAAGTCCCTTTTTATTATTTTAACTTTGGAGGTGCCAGGATTCAGAAGGTGCACAGAGAAAGGAGGTTGACTGGTGTCTTACCACAGTCTTCTCCTCTTGGAAACTTTTGAGCCTTCTCAAAGGGAGATAACGAGCCTTCCCTCCTCTGTGGGTAAATTGGGACCGGTTAGTTAAGTCATTTCTAATATGCCCCATAGCTCCAGAGCGAACTACCTGCAGCTCTCAAATGTGTGGTCCAAATGTGTGGTTTATGGTTATGGAACATAAGCCAGGTACTGGGGGTAGTGTTTGGAAAATGATGCCTGCGAGAGAGCACACGGCATAGTTCTTTCTCAGTTTATATTTGCACTTGTGGTGCCAACAGTCCTGGTGGACAAGGCCAAGGGCCCCTAGGTGGCCATTTAATACCAAAGAACTTGGAGGTACCAGTGAGGATTGCACCTATTGGTGTGTGTGAGCCCCTGTTAGTTTGGGGCGGGGTATAGAGGCACCTGAGGGTTTCGTTGGGGAGCACTATCATCGTTTGTTGCATCGTCCCCCGTCCCCCCAGAGGTGCAGCTTGGCACTCATCGATGCCCACTGGTTCAGAGCATTAAACAGCACCTCAGCCTCGTTCTCTGTTGGCCACCAGGATTTGAGATGGGGGTCTGAAGAGACTCAGTCTCCTCTGTCCTTAAGCCTTCTTGATACTTTAGATTTTTACTTTTATTTTTTAAAAAACTGCATTAGCAAAAGAATTCTGAATTTCTCAGGTCTCAGGCCAGTTATAGAGCTTGAGCTTGGAAACCACTGCTCCACTGTAAATGCTTCCCATTGATAATTTGATGGAACGTGCCCAGTCGTTTGTATCGTAGTCTGTTCTTCCCTTAGTTAGAAGTCTTTTTGCGTACTTTTTCCCAGGTGGTTTGGAGCTTGAGATACATTTCCTTGCACTGTCTACCTGCTCAGACTTGCTCTAAGACCAAAATCCGTTCATGTAATGTTGCTAAAACTCTCAACAACCCTTTGTTTTTAAATCTCCAACATCTTCTCTTTCTATAATATTTTCTTCGGTATTTCAAACCACAGTCCAAATACCACCTCTGCAGGCACTGGCTCTTATTCTAGCACATACCTTTACGTTTTGGTACCTGTAGATTGGAGCACAGATTGTACATTTTCATCGCCATCTGCTCAGCCTATTATTCAAGTATTCCAAAGGGGCCGTTGATGAATCCAGTGTTTTCTTGAACGCTCCAAATGGCTCTGCTCTGTTGGCAGTGCCTCTTCCCTTCTTTTCCCAGAGCATCCTCTTGCATTGTCTGCAAGAAGTTTTTGTGTGGAAACTGGCCTGGTAAGTTCTCAGAACTTGGTCTTTCTAGTTCCATGCTGTTGTGGTCAGAAAAGATGCTTGAGATAATTTCTATACTCTTAAATGTGTGCCCGAGTATGTCATCAGTCCTAGAGAATGTTCCATGTGTACTTGAAAAGAATATGTATTCTGTTTCTTTTTGGATGTAATGTCATGAAAAAATTAGATCTAACTGTCTGTTGTATCATTTAGGATCTCTGTTGCCTTATTAATTCTTTGTCTGGAAGCTCTGTCCATCTATGTGAGTGGGGTGTTATAGTCTCTGACTGTTGTTGTATTCCTGTTGATTTCTTCCTCTACGTCTGTTAGTATTTGTTTTATGTATTTGGGTGCTGAGTGTAAACTCCTTTTATTGATCATTATGTAGTGTCCTTCTTTATCTTTCTTTATGGCCTTTGTTTTAAAGGCTATTTTGTCTGATGTGAGTATTGCTACCCCTGCTTTCTTGTTATTTCCGGTAGCATGAAATATCTTTTTCCCTCCCCTCACTTTCAATCTGTGTGTGTCCTTTGCCCTAAAGTGGGTCTCTTGTAGGCAGCATATTGTGTAAGCTCTTGTTTTTTTAATCCACTTTTGTATCTCTGTCTATCAAATATCTCTTGTATTTTATCTTGTTCTTTTATCCAATCAAAAGACACAGAGTCTGCCACTCTGTGTCTTTTGATTGGAGCATTTAGTCCATTGACATTTAAAGTAATTATTGATAGATATGTATTTATTGCCATTTTAAACCTTGTTTTCCTGTTGATTTTATATTTCTTCTTTGTCCCTTTCTTTTTCTCTTTGTTTTTCCTTTTGTGGTTTGATGATTTTCTTTTGTATTATACTTATGTTCTCTTCTTTTTGGTTTTTGTGAATCTATTTTATGTTTTTGATTTGTGGTTACCCTGTTTTTCAAGTATGTTTAACCCCTTCCCATCTCTACTTGCCTTAGATTGGTGGTCATAGAGGCTCAAATATATTCTAGGGGAAAAAAAAGTCTACACTTTCTTACTCTTCTCCCCACATTTATGATTTTGATGTCCTTTTTTACATCTTCACTTTCATCCTTTTGCTGTTCACTGTGGTTGTCATAACTTTC